GTTAGAGAACGTAGGAGTAAACTTCGATTTCTTCATGTGGTCATAATTTACCGTTTGCTTTTATTTTGCTGATAATTTGTTTTTTACACTCTTGCACCATGCTGCTATAGAGTACAATAGTATTGTTCACTTAGCGCTTGTTTGTGTCACCTAAAACTAATCGAAATAGTTCTAGGATTATATGTACACGACCAATAGGACGGAGAATAGCTGAATTTTCACTGGATGTTGGTGGATGAAATTGAGATATCTTGAAGAAATTTGGTGCATTTCGAAGACGGTTCTCGAACCATTGCCACGCCGACAATGTGCCTCTAATGTAAAATATATGAAGTTGGCTGAAAATTAAAAAAAAAGTAGACGTAGGCCCGCCGTATAATGGTTTTGATGAGTATATCCCAGCGCAAACCATTAAAGGTATTTCAACGCGACTTGCTGAGAGGAAGTCCTTTCAGCACATCTATGAAAATGTCCGATAACTCAACAAATAAAAACATCAAAGACATGCGATTTGACTCAATAGATGGTATCAAAATTGTAGAATGGGAGTGGCACCGTCCACCCTTAGGTGAACTATTATTTACCACATTCGTGTGTCCATTTTCTATACTTATACAGAATTTTAAGTTTCCATATGAATCTTTTACTTTAGTTGTAGAATATAAATAATGCGCAGATTAAGTTGATCTTGAGTCAAAAGTGTCTGCAAGGCATGCCGTCTCACGTTCAATAATAGTCTAAATCCAACAAAAGCTTTTCAATTCTTTCAAATCTTCAGATACCGAACAAGATGTCAATACTTATTACCAAAAATAACGGTAAATTTATGGTGTATATTAGTGAAACTTAGAGAGGTTCCTTTCTTGGTAATAGTGTGATCTTGAGTCTTTGAATCTCCAGCTGACCTTATGCCACATATACCGTCTTTTATAACAGTAAACACTTTTATATTGATAAAGATAGGAGACATTTTAATGATATTAAGTTAATGTCTTTCTTAAGGGAGTAGTACGGTAAAAATTTTTCAGAACATCGAACAAATTTTTTTTGCTGTTTTGATTACTTTAAGCCCTTAATAATAATGTAGAAACCTTCCTTTTCTTTTGACTCAGATGTTAACAGAAATTTTTTTAAAAATGAGATCCGCCGCAAGGTGTCGTGCGCTCATATCGCAAAACTGGCGATCTTTAAACGCGTTTTTCTCGAAACAGTGTTTTTGAACTGGTACCCACGATTTCAATCTTTTTGGCACATTTGTCTATTTCTTTTTGGAATTTTCAGTAAAGCTTGCCTATCTAGTGACCTATGATCATTGTTAATAGATATTCGACAACATTATAACACAATTAATAACAAAAAACAGGCGAAAAACACAAAAAGAAATTCAAATTTGCACTCTTGGTTTATTTATCAGTGAGTTGTTTCAGTCGAACGTTATTAGACAGCTATTCATATATACTCTAAAATAAAATTTATCCCATTTCAGGTCATCCACAATGGAGAAATAGTGGGTACCACTTTAAAAGTTGGCTTCTTCCGGTCATCAAGAAAAATTAAAAAAAAAAAACAATTTTTTTTGTTTGTACTGTAAAATAACATATGAAAAATCTGAACCCTCAAATAAAAATTTGTGTGAAAAAAAATATTGAAAAAGGTTGCTTTTACAATGCTACCCGATTTATCCCGAAATATAAATACACCAGACAAACAAACTGTGATACTAAACGAGTCAATGATTATAATATTCAGAATTTCGAAAGTTACCAAATTTTATTGTAAACCATTGCGTTTCTTCAGAATGCATACGTGTATTGAACTCTGACGTAAAATTTGCTAATATAATGTTTTAGCACCATTTGAATTTCCCCGGCTTTGAATTTTTTAATTTTCGAAAGTATGAAATATTCGGTTACACCCGAACTTAGCTCTACCTTACTTGCTTTTTTTGGTTTGACCAACTCATGAATATTGTGGAAGGTCAGTCAAGCTATTGTCATTGCCGCTTGAAGGCAGTGCACTTTTAAAGGAACAGAACACACAACTAAATTTACGCATACATACATATGTGCACTTGCTCCGTTGTGGGCCACTCTAGAGTGTTTGTATCGGGTCTGTTTCGATTCATTAAGAATTTGCTCTTCTTTGCTTCATGCTTGCTTGAGTACTTGCGTACTCAGTATTCTTCTCTAAAATGAAGTGTTCAATATCGTTTGGGTCTCGAGTAGGATTGTCAAAATTACAGGCGTTGCCGACACTGACCTGGATTTGATGAAATGTTGATAATACCGAACTTTAACGCGTTACAATTAGTAAACATTTTAATACGGAATATTTTACTATGATAATCATGCAAAAAAATTTCAAGCCGTTAATTACAAAAGATCTAAACTATAACAACAAACTATAACTCTAACTCGTAACAAAGTGAACATTCTGTATGCCAGTGGCGAATTCAGAGGGGAGAAATGGGGGATATTTCCCACTGGCGGCAGAACTAAAAGTGGACAAAGAAAAGRGRAGAACCTGCCGACARCGAAACSCCAAAACACYGAACATTTGGACTTACGAAAGATGTGTGCAYGGTTCATCGATCGACGCTTGTGACGACGTTTATTTGACCAAAAATSACATTTTAACCATTAACAATCCCCCGTATTCAMCTGATATGGCAACGTGTGACTTCTTCCTTTACGGAAAAATGTATTTGCCTATGAAATAAAAGCGTTATGCAGACGTAGAGGTCATTCAAAAGGCTTGCACCGGCATACTGGCGGCCATACCGGCCAACGAGCTAAAACACTCGTTCCACATGCTAAGCTGTATTGAAGCAAAAGCAGGCTATTTTGAATAAAATTAATTGATTTTGCCGGAAAAACCATTTTTTCTTTTTTTTTTAAGTCCAGTTCACTTTGGAACATAGCTTGTATATATGCACGTTTTTAAGGTTTAACTACCAAAAAGTTTAGTTATTTTTTGACTCTCCATGGATATATATGTACTTAACTTCCAACATTCTCAATCAAAATCTTTAATCTAGAGTGTGTAAAGATTAAACAAAATAGTTCACTCTGTGTTGTAAGCATCACCCTAATGACCGTTTAGATGTTACATCAGAAGCTCAATTCCGCCTGTCTGCATCTCGCCTTGAAGCTGACAGAAAATATTGACGCTGAGAAAACTTACTTAATTTGCGCGGAAATTACAAAGCATAATGAGGAACCTATAAGTATATATAAACGGACAACGGTGTATATTGTTGTAACGGGTGGTCCACGTAGAGGTTCTTTTTTCAATAGCCATTTTTTGATAGATCAGCGTTTACAATTCTTTCAACGTATTACGAAAATTCACGTCCTATAAAGAATGTATTTCGCCCGTTTCCCTCAAATTATGGTCAACATAAGCGGCCTACTAAGCGTACTATTCGCAACACCATCACCCATCTTGAGACCCAGCATTCACTTTTTGATACCATTCGTCCGAATAAACCACGTCCAACACGCATTGAAGAAGCTGTAGCTGAGAGTGTACACGAACACCGAGGATTCGTTTGGTACTGTTCGAAGCAATTCGGACTGATGCATGAAACGACTTGGCACATTTTACATCGAGATCTAAAATTGTAAGCGTACAAAATTCGTATCGCTTCGCTCTATGTGTTATTGCAATGTTCCGAGAAAATCCGATCTTTTAGAGCCAAATTCTGTTCAGCGGTGAATCCAATATCAGGCTCAATGGAATAGTAAACAGCCAAAATGCCGCATTTGAGACGAAGAGCAACCTAAAGAGATTCAATATCTGCCATTTCATCCAGAAAAAACAGCGGCTTGGTGTGGTTTGTGAGCCGCTGTAATCACCGGTACATATTTCTTCAAAAATGACGGCAATGAGAGCGTAACCGTCAATGATGAATGTTATCGCCCCATGATAACCGACCATTTGACGACTTGAATTGAAGCTCGTGATCTCGGTTTATTGAGAGAACACTTCGGTAAGGAGATCATTTCATGTTTTGGACCGGTCGATTGGCCAACAGGATCGAGTGATATCACACCGTTAGACTTTGTGGCGATATGTAAATTCTAAAGTCTATGCGGACAATCCCGCTTCCATTCAGGCTTCCGGGCAAAGCATCACGCGTGTCATTCGACAGTTACCAGTCGAAATGCTCGAACAAGTCATCGAAAATTGGACTCACGAATGAACCATCTGAGGCGTAACTGCGGCCAAAAATTTCAAATAGATAATCTTCAAAATATAAAAGAATGTGCTTTCGAAGGATAGTAAAAATGTTCCATTAAATTTTAAGTGGCAGTAATTTTTTTTAAGGTACTGATATGGTGCACCCTATATTATATCTGAAGCAACAAGATGTGGAAAGTTCGTCGTACTTTACAAAAAATACTACTTCGTGGTCAACATCAACTGAAGGACAAAGTTTCTTAACTTTAGCTCACGTTCGTCTCTTCTATACTTGGTTTGTGAGCAAGAGAGTTAAAACAAATCAAAAAATATTAAATTATTAGTAAAGGCATAGTTTTAAAATGCAAGCATTTTAATTACTTGACAGCTTCAATTTTTTTGTAGACACGGCTTTGAAAATTTAGCATTAAAGGGAACTGCAGACTACTTAAGGCAGTGAAGAATGCCAGAATATTTGGCTGAGTCTAAGACAAAGGACGGTCTACATCTTACACGAAATTGGAGTAAATACGATTATTATTGCTTTGAGTAACAGAGAACCTTTTAGATATGCGACTTAATATGTGCAACTACATAAATATTTTGCCGATTGTTTGGCTGGGGAATTTAATTTTGGTAAATGAACTTATAGGTAATTGGAAAATGTAACGAAACACATTCGCTACCCATTAACTACTGGAACCGTTTAACTCTGCTGACAAACGATTATAAATCCTCTTCGACAAGGAAGCTCACACAAAACGTATATATGCATGTAAAGTCATAAACCATAATCATAACGGAGTATAAATACTTACATCGACATTACCATTCCACATGTAGTGCATGCCGACACCTGTCGGATCGTGATGCGTCTGCCCGGTCATATGTTCGGCCATAACGGCACTCATCCAATGCACTAAGCCCTGTGTGGGGTTTTGCCCCTGAACCCCGCCAATCGGCATGGTGGCAGCGACGGCTGCGGCCGCGCTTGCTGCTGCTGTTTCCGACGCTGCACTGACCGCTGTAGGCGAACTGGGTGTCGAGCCGGTCGAATGCAAACTTTGATGCTGATGCTGATGTTGTTGCTGTGATTGTTGTGAATTGCTTAGGTGGCTTGCCGACGAGGAGTTGTGTTGTTGTCGCTGTGTTGGAGATGACAGTGGTTGTTGAGCGGGCGACTTTAGCGTGCTCTCGAAATTGTGTGTGGCTTCAGCAGCGACAGCGGCGTGCAAATCTAAACCGCCGACGGGAGGTGTCGGTGTGGCCGAGCCGGAAGACGGTAAAAGGGCAATATGTGAAGACGTGTGATTTATAGCAGAACCAGTGGTGCTGGTCGGTGTCGCTGTATTCGCTTGCGCGGCTATTGCGCTCGGCGGTGTGACAGCTCCCAGGGGCCAGGAATAATTGTTAGGCTTCTGCGAATAAAGAACAGGGAAAATGGTGACTGAAGTAATATTTGTTTAAAACCATTATTGTACACAATATATGTGTTTTAACTTAACATATGACGATCTAGCTTCTTATATTTATTAAAGTTGATAAATCGCAAAAGGCTGTGAAGAATGATACATATTGATTGCGAATCTTTGTCAGGGAGTACAGAAAATTTGACTATGGAGGCGATAGCTTGGGCAAAATTAAGACATTTTATGAAAATTGGAACTTAGGAACTGCGCTTACGTTGTTAGTTCAAGTTTAAGAGGGCCTTGTGAAACCAGACAACAATATTGTATTTGGAAAAACTTAAATTATATACTTCCCAGAAAGCACAAGCTTACTTGCGCTGAAGCAAAAACCAAGCGGGGTTTTCGTTGTTCCGTAAGCAACTGTATAGCAGAGGTGTGAAGCAGATGAGGTAGTCAGATCGGATACAACCGTAGAATTAGACTTTGAAAAATAGGGAATTTATATGCCTTTGGCTACTTACATATTACTAAGTTTTGTCGACAAATATGTTATATGTAGATATAGAGGCTGAGCTTCGCTGAAGTCAATTCATAACTTGCTCATCAAACAGGTAAACTTGTCATGAATGGACACACATGACGAGTACTCATGAGAGTGTTAACAAGACACTATTTAATGATACTTGCAGACTGAGAATACAACACAATGACTATTGTAGAAGCTGCTCAGAGGAGAATAGTATACAGGGTGTGTGTGCAAAATAATTGGTCTGATTTTCTTTCACCGCGACTGTACTTCCGTGCGCACCGTCTGGATTCGGTAGTGATCGTGCCTAAATAACGAGCGGCTGGTTAGTTGCCTCCGAGCACGTGGAAAGTCAGAACAAACATTTTCGCGAAACATGTTTCTATGAGTGGTGCAAGCCGAAAAAGCAGGGTTCGTTAGAGCAGAGGTACGCGATTAAATTCTATGCAAAGCTCTCTGATATGATGAATGTTGCTTTGGCAAGAAGTTGCGTATTTCGGTACCACCAGGCCTGTTTGGAGGGCCGGGAGAAGGTCGCGGATGAATACCGTGCTGTGAGACCTGCGAACACCTACAATGTGACACGCTTCGCAAAGTTTTGAACTCAGACCATCGACTAAGTATTAGTTTGGTCAGATGTTAAATTTGTCAAAATCTGTTCTTCAAGATATTGTGACGGAGCACTTAATCATGCGCAAGGTGTATGCGAAGGTGGTCCCAAATTTGCTCATTGACGACCAGAATTTGCGGCGAGTGGAAGTGTGCTAAGAAAATTAACACATGTGTGACAGTGACGACCAATTTTTGAATAACGTACCCACAGATGACGAGTCATGGATCTTTGAGTATGATCCAGAGACAAAGAGGCAATCTTCTGAGTTTTGAGACGACTGAGGGGATCCAAGCAGCATGCACCTCGGCTCTCAAGGCTATTCTGGAGAATGCCTTCCCTGACGCTTTCACTGCTTGGAAATGGCGCTGACACCGCAGCATCGATGCTGAATTTGACTATTTTGAAAGTTTTTAAAGAATTGTAAAGATTGGTTCAATAAAATTTTTTAAATCAGCTCAGTCTCTTCTGCACAAACCCTGTATATAATAGTTTGTCAAAAAAGTTTTGCGGTATTTCTTGCGGCATTTTTATTGAAATTTCAATTAAAAATTTGTTTGATGACTCATGCCCAGCTCTTGACCGATGCTACGGCTGCTACTATGCTGGTCTCTTTCGACAAGTTCAGCGGTTTTATCACAATTTTCGACGACAGGCCCTCCGGAGCGTGGCGCAACTTCGACCACCTCTACACCAGAACGAAAAAGTTAAAACCATCACTGTGCGGTAGAAATGGAAACTGTATCGGATCCACAAACTGCACAAATTTTGTTGGCGGCTTGAGATGCATTTTTGCCTTTATCGTAGTAGTACTGTTGCTCTCAGCGAAAATACCGCAAAACTTTTTTGACAACCTAATATATAGGTTCAGGCTGCTGGAACTCTGGGACGACATGTGATATAGGAGGGGGCACAATAGACCCTAGGTCGCGGTGCATTACCTCATAATACTATGTATCTATCTATATATTTACATAGGTTAGCAACCTTCGAATGCAAAGCTTTCTTTAGCACATAATTGCAACTATTCTTGACGACGTTTCAGATGTTCGGATATAACTTTTTGTACTGGCGAACTTTATGAGAAGACATAATAAAGGCTTAGGCGCGTCGTTAGACATCCACTCTTCCCACCTTCCCATCGTTCATATTTGGACTTTCAGTGTCGCTGTCCATCCAGTTGGCATACGTATACGTTGGCATATGTATATGTATATATGTATATCTTTTAATATATAGGATATCTCAACTGAAGAGGTTATATAATCTCAAGCCAAAACCAATTTAATGGGTTCAAAATAGCAGACCATTCTACTGTTCTACTTAAATTTTCTAAAATCTTCAGCCACATCGAACTATACCGCACAAGTTCTATGCTTACATAGTGTATATACTCTTTTTCCCTCCGAATTTATTAGATTAATTTAAATATAACTTTAAAGCTTTTGTTAAAGAAGTACACAAAATGTTAAACCCCTACACATAATGTCATTAATACTAAGTTAATACAATGGTAATATTATATTAGGTGGATCTAACATATCCTATCCCTCTATATTTGCAATCTACAAGGTATGATATTTCATTGTGAGAATTATACCACCGCAACTAGAAAATACTTGTCTTCAAGTCAAAGGAAAATCAAACGCGTGCAGCTAGATTTAAAAGTCACCAAGCCGTCTACCCCAGAGTAGCAAAACTCTTTATAGAACAGATGTCAGGGTTAGATCACACTCTATCAGCTTAAAGTCGGGCTTACATAATACTCGTATATTCAAACTTAAAACTAATTACTCTTGCAACAACTAACATGATTGCTAACGCTTGCGCTGTCATTTGAGTCCCCGGCCACCTCGCCGGGCAGTTCCGCTGCGACAGCGCTGCGTTGAGCTGCAGCTGCAGCCGCTGCCGCAGAGAAGAAGAAATTACGTGAGAAATGAGCAGTATTGGTGGATTCAGCACGCTTGGAGACTGCCGGCGATTTACGCTCGTACTCGACTTCATTTTCATATAACTGTTTTTGTCGCTGCAGATGATGTTGTTGCTGCTGCTGTTGCTGCAAAGCCGCAGCGCTCACCAGCAAACTTTTGTAGAAATCTGCCGGCATTAAGAACGGTGTCGCTGCTGGGGTTGGTGTTCCTGCATTTGGTGGCGGCGTTGACGTGGAGTCTACACACTGAACGGGGCTCTTGCAGCCGCTACTGCCGCGGCGCCTTCTATGACGCCACGTGCACAACTCTTCCGCATCGGCCAACTGTTGCGCCGAAGCGATGTTGTGGCTGCTGGCCAAAGACAAAATGCGCTGCGTATCATTGCGTCGCAGGAGAGTGCCAGCGCAACAGTTCATTGTGTTGGGTGACATATTCATTGTTTGTTATGTGTGCGGGGCGAATACTTTCTGCGCGCCTTCAAGTATGCTAAGCAGATACATGTGGAACAAAAACAATTAAAGCTTTCGCTTTCAAGCGTCAAAGTTTTGCTCAATAAATTGCTGCAGATTTGTTTATGTTGCTTTTCATATAATAACGTCCGCTATTTCCGGTTGCTCGCCTTTTCAGTTGGTTGTTTTTCAGATTTACTCGCTTTTACTTGAGTTTGGCTTTATTGTTTTTAATTGTTAAAAAAATATATTTTGTCTTGACTAATTTATCTTGTGGTGCAGAGCATCATTGAATCATGAGTGCTTTGGTAGTTTTTGTTTTAATTTTTTTACGAATTTATTTATAGAATTAGTTAAAATTTTATTTTCGATCTTCTTGAAATTATTTGAATTAAAATATTTATTTCTAATTATTTTTTCGATTACTAAGGTTTAGGAACTTTGTTTGCCCTGCAACAATCTCATATTATTTGCAAAAAGTTTTTTGCTTTAGTGTTTTTCTCGCGGTTTATGTTAATTTGGCTTTATTTTATTAATATTTTTTTCAATGTAAAATTACTGTTTATTTGTTTATTTGAAATTTCTTTACCTTACTTTATGCCTTTGTGCTCACTTTTTTATTTTCTATGATAATTTTTTTTCCAAATATGTGCGTTTCGCTTTTCTATAATCCATTTTATTGCTACATTTTCACACTTTAGTATTTTTTATGTAACTTAAATATTTAATACACTTATTTTTTTTACCACATTCAAACTTCACAATTTTTACGATAGAATTTTAAAAACTATATTTTTTTATTTT